TTCAAATTATTATTATTAATAATTAAAAGGTCACTCAATGGAGAATTCAAATTTTTAAAATTCATAAGTAAGTTTATTATGTTATTAACTAGAATAAACTAAAATCTTTTTATTTTTTTATAAATCTTCAACTATTTAAAAGCAAAATAATTTACAATAATAATGGATATCTTAATTTACAAATTCATAATCTATATTAATATGATACAGAAATAAATTAATTTCTCATATAAGAGTATTGTAAGAAAATTTTAAAGTTTTTAGCTTTTTTATTTCAATTTAAAAGCTAAATTAAATATTTTTGATAGGAACTGACCAAAATTATCTTCTCATTTTTATTCCTTATCATCAAAATCATCTATATCTCTTGAAAATTATCAATGCTTAATATGCAACATTTAGATTATCAATTTCTATTCAATATACATATAGAGTCCAATTAAAATAGAGTCAACCATATCCATGATAAAAATTAATCTTAAAATAGTGATTATGTATTCAAAACGTATAGCTTTAAGTAGAGAAATCTCGATTAGGAATTTAACCTTGTAAAGTATAACAGAATTCTAACACTAAAAAATTTCTCTGTGAAGGTTTGCTTTATACAAAATTAGTATTAAATTGCTATAATCTTATTAACATCAGTCTAATGTGTCATTCCAATCCAAGTAAAATACATCTTCAACTATGAAACTAAATTTAAGGAACTATTTCTAGGCAATATTTATAGAATGAATACAATTTAAAGAAAATTAAGAAAAAAAGAATTATAATTTGTACACAATTAAAATGAGGAAAAAAAGAATATAATAAATTCAAAAATTAATCTAATCACTTTAATTATATCATTTGCCCTAAATGTTTGCATACCCTGATTAGCATTCGAAATATAAATTAGCTTTAATGAAAATTTTATGTTGCCTGGGGTGATGTCTACTAATCCAAATGGAAATTAATTATTAAAATATGATTATACAAAATTAAAATAATATTCGAATTATCAAATTAAGATAATAGATAGGTTATTTTTAATCAATAGTGCAATTTTTGATGGGTCTGAGGAGCTGTTTATATTGACAAATCCAACAATAATCATAGAATTAATTGAAATAATTACTTATAAAATGTGAGGATAGACTAAAAAGATTATTTTCACATTTCATAAGGAATTACTATTTCTTCTTATTAATACTTTGATTTAGAAACTTCTAAATTAACTCCTTATAATTTGTCATTTTTGATTACCGTTTTGAATAAATTTTATCAATAAATGAAGAAATTAGCAGATCCCTTTCCTTTAATTTCTCACAATGCCATAATTTTGACTAATAATATTATTTTAACAATATTATCAAGTACATTTTCTTAAACAAGATTATAATTTAATTAAGAAAATAAAGATTTTAACATAGATAATTACATTATCAATTTTATCTTTTTATTAATAAAGATGTTGTTTTAAGACTAAAAATATATTGTAATATAATGAATATACTCAAATATGTTACCTAACCATCATAGTAAATTACTTCCTTCATCACAGAATACTTAATTGTCAACATAAACAATTTCAAATGCTAAATAGAAGATTATATGAATTCAACTTCTTGTAGTTAAACTTATTGTGATCTTAAATTAATGCTAAAAGTTGCATTATAAAGATGAATTTAAGATGAAATTTATTAAAAACTTTATAATTGGACTAAAATAAAATAAGAATATTGGAGAGCATATTACAATTGTGATTAAATCGAACATTTTATCATGATCAAAACAAGGGAGGGTGATAAAATGGATGTTAATCTTGCTCTTAAGGTTCCATTGGCGCTTTATGAGAATAGTGCCATTTAAATAACACAAGGTGTGATGGAGTTCATTCAGTTAGTCTTCATAAGGATGTAGATATAGTCATTAAATAGTTGATAATTTTTAGTTATTAGTTTTATTAACATTGAACCCTTATTTTAATTTTAATTTATGTATTGGATAATACCAAAAGCATTAAAGACATAATTTTAGAGATTCGATTAAAATCTTTTAAATTAATTCTTGTTATAAATAAGTTTCACCAGTAATCTTAATTAAAGTTTTAATGACTTTTTTTTAATAATATAAAATATGGCAACATTTAAATTTAAATAAATTCTGTATTTACTTGAAAGATTAATATGAAGTTTAGTTAATTCTATTGGAAAGGCTTGATTAATATAGATTTTTATTTATTTCAACTGCCCTATTATATTTTTTATTATACATGCAGCCAAACTTGGTTGGAACTTTAATTTCTAAACTCTCAAAAACGAATAATTTTTTATAGATATTTGGATATATGAAAATCTTTTTTATCGATATGATAGAGTAAACCATCTTTTCTGTATTCTTTCATGTTGTTTGGCTTTGATGCTTCTCTATGGCACACTTATTCCAGCTATTTTTTTATAAATTCAAAATTAATAAATTTTGTTTAAATAACCACCTGATCAACTTTTGATTATCTATAAATCAATACAAATAAAGAACCTATTCTTGAAAGATTGTTAAAATTCTTTAGCAAAAGTTAAGCATTATTATATTAGCATATTATTATGATTATATACTTATTATAGCATTACTTGTATTTTTAAGTTTAATCGCCTACATATTTTGAACTAGCTTGGTTTAAACCTATTTAAAAAAAAAATAAATTAATTTAATAAGTGGCCAGCCATTATTTGTTCTTGTCTCTATTATTTTAGCAAGGTATACATTTTTAGCTCAATATTCTCTTCTTATTTTGAAATAATTTGTCTGTTTTATTTCAAAAATATTAAATAGCCAGAATCAAAGAATGATTTGTAAAATCGAAGATTATATAATTACTTAGACTCTACATATTATTTAATATAATATGATTGATATGGATAAAGTTAAGAATTTATTAAATCCTGTTAGGCTAGAATTTAGAAGTGGCCTTATAAGAAAGCATTTAAATTAATTTTTAACTTAATAAATGTAAACTGAGATCATTCCATGATTTATTATTCTAGTCACTAATACTATTTTTGGAATTCTATAAGGATTTTAAAATCATCTTGACCTTACCAAGGGGGCTATTCAGTTTTATTTTCAAATAACCAAAAGGTTAGATTTTACTCTGCCTGAAAAGATATCAAAACCTTATTCTTTCATTGAGATTAAATGATATTTAGAAGTTTGAAGATACATGAAGTAAACTATTTTTGATTTTTGAATTTTAAGGAAAAAGTTCTTATTGAAAATTATAATGAAGGGTTTAGTANAAAGATGAATTTAAGATGAAATTTATTAAAAACTTTATAATTGGACTAAAATAAAATAAGAATATTGGAGAGCATATTACAATTGTGATTAAATCGAACATTTTATCATGATCAAAACAAGGGAGGGTGATAAAATGGATGTTAATCTTGCTCTTAAGGTTCCATTGGCGCTTTATGAGAATAGTGCCATTTAAATAACACAAGGTGTGATGGAGTTCATTCAGTTAGTCTTCATAAGGATGTAGATATAGTCATTAAATAGTTGATAATTTTTAGTTATTAGTTTTATTAACATTGAACCCTTATTTTAATTTTAATTTATGTATTGGATAATACCAAAAGCATTAAAGACATAATTTTAGAGATTCGATTAAAATCTTTTAAATTAATTCTTGTTATAAATAAGTTTCACCAGTAATCTTAATTAAAGTTTTAATGACTTTTTTTTAATAATATAAAATATGGCAACATTTAAATTTAAATAAATTCTGTATTTACTTGAAAGATTAATATGAAGTTTAGTTAATTCTATTGGAAAGGCTTGATTAATATAGATTTTTATTTATTTCAACTGCCCTATTATATTTTTTATTATACATGCAGCCAAACTTGGTTGGAACTTTAATTTCTAAACTCTCAAAAACGAATAATTTTTTATAGATATTTGGATATATGAAAATCTTTTTTATCGATATGATAGAGTAAACCATCTTTTCTGTATTCTTTCATGTTGTTTGGCTTTGATGCTTCTCTATGGCACACTTATTCCAGCTATTTTTTTATAAATTCAAAATTAATAAATTTTGTTTAAATAACCACCTGATCAACTTTTGATTATCTATAAATCAATACAAATAAAGAACCTATTCTTGAAAGATTGTTAAAATTCTTTAGCAAAAGTTAAGCATTATTATATTAGCATATTATTATGATTATATACTTATTATAGCATTACTTGTATTTTTAAGTTTAATCGCCTACATATTTTGAACTAGCTTGGTTTAAACCTATTTAAAAAAAAAATAAATTAATTTAATAAGTGGCCAGCCATTATTTGTTCTTGTCTCTATTATTTTAGCAAGGTATACATTTTTAGCTCAATATTCTCTTCTTATTTTGAAATAATTTGTCTGTTTTATTTCAAAAATATTAAATAGCCAGAATCAAAGAATGATTTGTAAAATCGAAGATTATATAATTACTTAGACTCTACATATTATTTAATATAATATGATTGATATGGATAAAGTTAAGAATTTATTAAATCCTGTTAGGCTAGAATTTAGAAGTGGCCTTATAAGAAAGCATTTAAATTAATTTTTAACTTAATAAATGTAAACTGAGATCATTCCATGATTTATTATTCTAGTCACTAATACTATTTTTGGAATTCTATAAGGATTTTAAAATCATCTTGACCTTACCAAGGGGGCTATTCAGTTTTATTTTCAAATAACCAAAAGGTTAGATTTTACTCTGCCTGAAAAGATATCAAAACCTTATTCTTTCATTGAGATTAAATGATATTTAGAAGTTTGAAGATACATGAAGTAAACTATTTTTGATTTTTGAATTTTAAGGAAAAAGTTCTTATTGAAAATTATAATGAAGGGTTTAGTAGGACTAATATATTTTATAGATGCTTTGATTTATTACTATAATTAATATGAATTTTATTGATCTATTAGTTTTAAAGCGTTACAAGAAAGAGGCAATTTTATGATACCATTATTTCTATAAACAAAACTATTAATTTTTTTCAAGTAATAGTAAGTATTTAAAATTTACTGAATTAAATTTTTTTAGAACTTGTTGAGTCTCTAATTATTAATCTAATAAGCTTAGATTGGATAAAGAAGTAAAACTTTTAATAACTAATATTTAATGCTGATTACGATCTGATAATTTATGGGATTTTAAATAAGGAAACTGCTATTCTAATCATAAATAATCAATGAACTCATCCAATCTACTTTAAGGAATTTTAATTTTTTTTTAAGTTGATTAATTAATCTTAATTAGAAACAATATCCTGCAAAATAAGATTGAATATTCTTTTTGGATGAAATTAGAGATCTATATTTAAGTATGGAAGCAATTTATTGATTGAAACTCATCTTCAAGAATTGTTAAATATTATCCATACTCCCAAAAGAGATAGAAATAAATTTTGTTCTATTTTATAATGAACAATAAAAAATTTTGATAACTAATTCAATATTATTAAAAAGAGGACTTATTTAATGATCACAAGGATGTAATTTGATGCTCAAAATTTTTGATGTATTTTCTACTTAATTTAGTTTGAGTTAATTGTAATTAGATGATTATACTCATGTTATTGGTCTATTGGAAAAATGAATAATAAACGAATAAACTTGAAGATGTATTCAATTAAATTTCATATCATAGGCTCTACCTGTGCTAAAGTTCATTAAAAGTTCAGTTAATGATAATAAATGAAATGAATTGAATATAATAGTTTTCATCAAACCGTAAGTGAGACAATAAATCAATTACATTGCTTTTACATCTATGCATAATTGAAGAATTGATGTTTTTCATATTATAAAATCTGAAATAAGGTGTGTTAATTTGATAGAAGAGTCTGCTCATCTAAGAAATCATTAGGCCTTTTTCAAAAATTTAGATTTCACTCAAAATCAATATATATTGAGCTTGTTTTTCTCGAAATAGGCTATTCAAATCAAAAAGATTTACTTTAATATATTTCCATTAAGAATATACATCATATACTTGATAAATTATAGATTCTCTATAAAAAATTATTTTCATAAATAGTAAAGATTTCAGATCTTAGATCTTCCAAAATCTCCATATAACTTAATTTTTGAGGACCCTTGAGACATGTAAGGCTATATTAACTCTATTTAGTCAAATGTGAATCTTTTTCAATATATGATGCGAATGTAAATTATATATATGAAACGAAATTTTGAAAACGTACTTACAAAATTATCCTGCAAAGTTATTTATGATTAAATTAACACGCTTTTAACTTTCACAAGAATAATTACTATTAATTCATTGAATTTACAAAGAATTATTTTAGTAATATGCTAGAAGAAGAAATTTCATCAAGTGGATCCATTATAACATTAATATTTTATAAATTGTTGTAAAATATATATTTTATATTAATAATCAAAAGAGAAACTCATTAGGGTTAAACAATTATCATAGATTAATAAAGATATTTTATTATAAACTTAATAAAATGAGAATAATATTTTAATAGAAAAAGGGAATTATTAAATATCTTATTTTTATTAATTATATTAATGTCATCTGATCTAGATAAGAAATTGTGTTAAAAGCATAAATTAGAAATTTTAACAATAGATTTAAAATAATCAACTGCTGATGAGGACAAATACCTTTGTATTAAGTGCCTAAGGGAAAAAATTGATATTTAAAACATGGCTTTGGTTGAAGAGACAAAAACAATGATTAAGTAAATGAA